CCCCCCCCCCCGAGCCAATCCGTAATTTGTACCCTACTCAAATTCATGTTCACTGATGAAAGCTTAAACAGGCCCTCCCTCCCCCCTCACCCATGCCAACTCTTATCTTTCTCTCTCTGTTGAGATGTCCCTTTTTACTTGGCTTCTAGTCAAGTCCAGACACCAGCCGCTCTTTCCTTGCTAAATTCAGCTCGCCCCCTACCAAATTCAGGCATCTCCAGCATTTGGCTCACTGCATCTTTTATCCGGTCATCCAGTAGTCAGGGAAGCCTGCTACTCTCAAGGTCCTTTGCAGTTCCTTCGCTTAACTATAGCTTAGCATAACTATGGCCTAGCATTAACAAAACTCCTACAGCTGGAACTGTGTTTTGTTTGGTACCTTTATTTCCAGTCATAATGTAAATGTTTAGAGATGCATACTGAATGCGAGGGGGAAAAGGTGCTGGGACACTGTCCTGTTTCCAGAGCATTTTACAACTGATGCTGTTTTGACGGCTCTTGTAATTTTGCCTGAGTCAGTGAGGGTGTTATAAAATGTGACATTACTAGCTGGACACTCTTGGCTACCTCTAACCACAGTCATTCAACACACAAGTGCTTAAATTTGGCTTTAGATGGTTGCCTGACTCAGTCAATTGTGTCAACCACTGAATGGACAATTGTGTCAACCACTGCTGTGCCCTCTTGCTGCCTTTCCTCCCAGATGACATAGACTTAGCTTGTGCATTGAGGATTGCTCCCTTGAGGAGCAACCACTCTTCTTGAACTCCCCTCTCCCTGGGGTCATGGTTCCTTAGGACCTGACTGACAAGCCTCCTGAGCTTGTCAAAGTTGGCTTTCGTGAAGTCAAGGACTTCCGTGTTGCTGACTGACTTGCCAGCTTTACGGCAGATGGTGAAGGTCATCATCTCATGGTCGCTGTCATCCAGCTTCCCATTGATGACTAAGTTGCCAACTAGGTCATCCCCAGTAGCCAGTACCAGGTCGAGCAGCACTTTGCCTCTTGTTGGCCATTTGAGAGGTGTCAGGAGCATTCTTCCTGTTTTACATTAGGGGAAACAGAGCCAAATGGCATCTTGCCCAAGGTCACACAATTGTTCAGTGCCAGAATCAGAAAGACAACCCATTTAGTCATGAGACAGCTCTAAAAGCAACTTCCAAATAGTAGTGTGTGTGTCCAGTTTGGACAATGTGAATGGCAGGAGTCGGCCTCTTTGTAAGAAGAACAACCTGAGACAACCTGT